ATAAAACACAAATCATAATAGAACAATCTTGTACACTTACAGTATAACAACTTCAGCAAAAGATGAAAATGATTAGCATAGGAAAACTTGTCTCATATGATACAAATATTGAATTACCTTCACATCCTTGGTCAAACTCAACCAAACAAGAATTGGTACATGTACGAACAGAAGCTGCAAATCCTTCTCCTTTGTTTAACATTTCTTCTAATCTAGACTTAAATTCCTCTAGTGCTTTGGAGCGTAGATGTCCTAACAACTTTGTATAAGCAGGATAGACAAACTGGAAAATGGAAGAGAGTTCACTCAATCAGAGAAAGATGAAATGCATATTAAAAGAGGAACAAGAATATAGTTTAGAACACAAGAGGTAAAAGACTGTTCCAAATATCAGACATGTACTATTGATCTCTTGAACACAAACATCCAAGTACTGCATACAAAACCTAGTTTGGATAGAGGGGCAAAAAGCAGGGGCTTCAACTACAAAATATGATTACTTAATCACTTGGTCTTAAACAAATTAGCCAGCCATCATAATGATAAATTCAATAAAAATGCTGTCCATATTCCATACATTAAATATATCACCGATTTGGAGATGCCCCATTACTAAGCTTGGGAAAACTAATAATGATATCTCTAAATATCTAAAAAGAATTATGTCAAATAATTTAAGTATCTAAGCTCCAAAGTGCTTAGAGATAACCCTGAAGTACTATCTTGCAAGTATCTCTAACAAAGTCAAGAGTCATATCTAAGCCATCGGAAATGGAACATCTTTGGCAACAATTCAATAAAGGCCTTCTGAAATTCCGATAGAATGCCTGTTCCATTGCATTTTATGTTATGCTCTATAACAAAAATAGTTGAAACTGCTATGGGTTATAGCTTCTACAGTTGCCTATATTGGTAGAACTTCAAGTATCTCCACCAATCGCCAAAATGCTAGGGTGAATTATATAACTTTCTTGTAGTTTAATCCTTCAAGTTTGCAATGGAATGTAAAACACCATCAATAATCTGAAAATTCAAGTAGAATACGCAATGTTATGATGAAGGCCTTACATCGAAAACTTTTGACTCCAATTGCTGACGTTTTGCATTTCTTACACGCTCATCAAAGTAGATTGCCTCCATGTCATATCTACAGTAAAAGAAAATTCAGGTGCATAGACAGGCTTAGGTCTTTCAAATCAAGCTGAAATTACAATCATTCAGACTCATAATCACAGATGATCTAGGCTTTTAAATTCATCTGTGGGCAAAATAGCATTAAAAAAAACTACAAAACTTCATTTTTGAATTAATAAAATTCAATGGTTTTCAAATTCAAAACATTATACACAAAATATGTGAAGTTTTTAAATAATTAGCTTGATTGGAGTTATTGGTTCACCATAAAGCAAACATCTAATGGAGAAACCTTTCAATATTGCATAATATTATTGATAAAACCAAAGTTCTGATCTTACACTAGATAGAAACATTGATGTCTCTTACACTAACAGGGACACATACAAACAGTACATACATGACACAGAGAGATAAACTTACTTTGAAAAATAGGTATCTAGAATAGAGCTCAGCTTTCTCCCAAAATCAGGTACTGGTCCAGATTGAACAGCTTCTTCTAATTCTATCCATGCCTAAATAATATTCACTTGAGCTGTCAGTAAGTAAAATATAGCAAGTAACTAGCGAGTAATAACTAAAAAGAGATGGGATCAAAAGCACCTCATCACTGGTTAAGCCACAGAACTTCTCATCAGCAATCTCTTCACACCGGACGTTGGCAACCATGACCTGGTAAGCATAATGAAGGAACATTTACTTGCAGTAGTAGAAAAAACTAAGAAATTCAAATGGAAAAATATGAATAAATAATAACCTTGTGAGCAGGAAGATCCAAGTCCTTGTTCTCTTTTATAATTTTCCATATCTGCTGAGCACTAAAAGAAAAACCCGAGGCTGGGACAACAACCCGTCTGTCACCATCAAGTCCTCCTGGGGAAATAGAATTAAAAAATTGCTGCCTCAATTGAACAACCTGCATAAAACAACATAAAATGCCATTAGGCTTAAATATGGGCTCTAGACGACCCCAATTTCCCCCATTAGAAAAGGGATAATGAAGCAGGATTTCACCAGAGCTAAAAATTTGAATATTTGGCTAAATACATAGACAATAAACCTATGCAGAGTAGCCTAGTAGGGATCTAGAAAGAAGACTTTTGGATCTAATGTCACAAGGTCTTGCAATGAATTAAAAAGTCTTTTCCACTTTCCATTGTTCCTACCAAGCACAATTGAAGTTGAAGCTTCTGAAAACTGATACAGGTTATGAAAATTATAAATTCCAGCTTAAAAAACAGCTTCTTTTATTAGGGGGAGTACCTGCTCTTTGAACTGCTCCTCCTTTTCTTCGTAGCTAGGTAAGGCAGTGATTTCCACCTTCATACCAAAGATCAAACATAAAATGATTCTCAAAACTTAAAGGAATATATAGATTATGGAGTGTATACATAGAAAGGAAACAAAAGGGAAGAGAGAGAAATATTCTTACATTAAAAAAGTCACTAAG